GGCTCGGACATCTTTCTTGGGCTCAGATATCTTTCTTGGGCTCAGATATCTTTCTTGGGCTCAGATATCTTTCTTGGGCTCAGATATCTTTCTTGGGCTCAGATATCTTTCTTGGCTCAGATATCTTTCTTGGGCTTCTAAGATATCTTCTTGGGCTCGGACATTCTTTCTTGGGCTCAGATATCTTTTTTGGGCTCAGATATCTTTCTTGGGCTCAGATATCTTTCTTGGGCTCGGATATCTTCTTGGTCAGATATCTTTCTTGGGCTCAGATATCTTTCTTGGGCTCAGATATCTTTCTTGGGCTCAGATATCTTTCTTGGGCTCAGATATCTTTCTTGGGCTCAGATATCTTTCTTGGGCTCAGATATCTTTCTTGGGCTCAGATATCTTTCTTGGGCTCAGATATCTTTCTTGGGCTCAGATATCTTTCTTGGGCTCAGATATCTTTCTTGGGCTCAGATATCTTTCTTGGGCTCAGATATCTTTCTTGGGCTCAGATATCTTTCTTGGGCTCAGATATCTTTCTTGGGCTCAGATATCTTTCTTGGGCTCAGATATCTTTCTTGGGCTCAGATATCTTTCTTGGGCTCAGATATCTTTCTTGGGCTCAGATATCTTTCTTGGGCTCAGATATCTTTCTTGGGCTCAGATATCTTTCTTGGGCTCAGATATCTTTCTTGGGCTCAGATATCTTTCTTGGGCTCAGATATCTTTCTTGGGCTCAGATATCTTTCTTGGGCTCAGATATCTTTCTTGGGCTCAGATATCTTTCTTGGGCTCAGATATCTTTTGGGCTCAGATATCTTTCTTGGGCTCAGATATCTTTCTTGGGCTCAGATATCTTTCTTGGGCTCAGATATCTTTCTTGGGCTCAGATATCTTTCTTGGGCTCAGATATCTTTCTTGGGCTCAGATATCTTTCTTGGGCTCAGATATCTTTCTTGGGCTCAGATATCTTTCTTGGGCTCAGATATCTTTCTTGGGCTCAGATATCTTTCTTGGGCTCAGATATCTTTCTTGGGCTCAGATCTTTCTTGGGCTCAGATATCTTTCTTGGGCTCAGATATCTTTCTTGGGCTCAGATATCTTTCTTGGGCTCAGATATCTTTCTTGGGCTCAGATATCTTTCTTGGGCTCAGATATCTTTCTTGGGCTCAGATATCTTTCTTGGGCTCAGATATCTTTCTTGGGCTCAGATATCTTTCTTGGGCAGATATCTTTCTTGGGCTCAGATATCTTTCTTGGGCTCAGATATCTTTCTTGGGCTCAGATATCTTTCTTTGGCTCGATATTTTCTTGGGCTCAGATATCTTTCTTGGGCTCAGATATCTTTCTTGGGCTCGATATCTTTCTTGGGCTCAGATATCTTTCTTGGGCTCAGATATCTTTCTTGGGCTCAGATATCTTTCTTGGGCTCAGATATCTTTCTTGGGCTCAGATATCTTTCTTGGGCTCAGATATCTTTCTTGGGCTCAGATATCTTTCTTGGGCTCAGTATCTTTCTTGGGCTCAGATATCTTTCTTGGGCTCAGATATCTTTCTTGGGCTCAGATATCTTTCTTGGGCTCAGATATCTTTCTTGGGCTCAGATATCTTTCTTGGGCTCAGATATCTTTCTTGGGCTCAGATATCTTTCTTGGGCTCAGATATCTTTCTTGGGCTCAGATATCTTTCTTGGGCTCAGATATCTTTCTTGGGCTCAGATATCTTTCTTGGGCTCAGATATCTTTCTTGGGCTCAGATATCTTTCTTGGGCTCAGATATCTTTCTTGGGCTCAGATATCTTTCTTGGGCTCAGATATCTTTCTTGGGCTCAGATCTTTCTTGGGCTCAGATATCTTTCTTGGCTCAGATATCTTTTCTTGGGCTCAGATATCTTTCTTGGCTCAGATATCTTTCTTGGGCTCAGATATCTTTCTTGGCTCAGATATCTTTCTTGGGCTCAGATATCTTTCTTGGGCTCAGATATCTTTCTTGGGCTCAGATATCTTTCTTGGGCTCAGATATCTTTCTTGGGCTCAGATATCTTTCTTGGGCTCAGATATCTTTCTTGGGCTCAGATATCTTTCTTGGGCTCAGATATCTTTCTTGGGCTCAGATATCTTTCTTGGGCTCAGATATCTTTCTTGGGCTCAGATATCTTTCTTGGGCTCAGATATCTTTCTTGGGCTCGGATATCTCTCTTGGGCTCAGATATCTTTCTTGGGCTCAGATATCTTTCTTGGGCTCAGATATCTTTCTTGGGCTCAGATATCTTTCTTGGGCTCAGATATCTTTCTTGGGCTCAGATATCTTTCTTGGGCTCGATATCTTCTTGGGCTCAGATATCTTTCTTGGGCTCAGATATCTTTCTTGGGCTCAGATATCTTCTTGGGCTCAGATATCTTTCTTGGGCTCAGATATCTTTCTTGGGCTCAGATATCTTTCTTGGGCTCAGATATCTTTCTTGGGCTCAGATATCTTTCTTGGGCTCAGATATCTTTCTTGGGCTCAGATATCTTTCTTGGGCTCAGATATCTTTCTTGGGCTCAGATATCTTTCTTGGGCTCAGATATCTTTCTTGGGCTCGGATATCTCTCTTGGGCTCAGATATCTTTCTTGGGCTCAGATATCTTTCTTGGGCTCAGATATCTTTCTTGGGCTCGGACATCTTTCTTCTTGGGCCTCAGATATCTCTTGGGCTCAGATATCTTTCTTGGGCTCAGATATCTTCTTGGGCTCAGATATCTTTTCTTGGGCTCAGATATCTTTCTTGGGCTCAGATATCTTTCTTGGGCTCAGATATCTTTCTTGTGGCTCAGAATCTTTCTTGGGCTCAGATATCTTTCTTGGGCTCAGATATCTTTCTTGGGCTCAGTATCTTTCTTGGGCTCAGATATCTTTCTTGGGCTCAGATATCTTTCTTGGGCTCAGATATCTTTCTTGGGCTCAGATATCTTTCTTGGGCTCAGATATCTTTCTTGGGCTCAGATATCTTTCTTGGGCTCAGATATCTTTCTTGGGCTCAGATATCTTTCTTGGGCTCAGATATCTTTCTTGGGCTCAGATATCTTTCTTGGGCTCAGATCTTTCTTGGGCTCAGATATCTTTCTTGGGCTCAGATATCTTTCTTGGCTCAGATATCTTTCTTGGGCTCGGACATCTTTCTTGGGCTCAGATATCTTTCTTGGGCTCAGATATCTTTCTTGGGCTCAGATATCTTTCTTGGCTCGATATCTTTCTTGGGCTCAGATATCTTTCTTGGCTCAGATATCTTTCTTGGGCTCAGATATCTTTTCTTGGGCTCGGATATCTTTCTTGGGCTCAGATATCTTTCTTGGGCTCGATCTTTCTTGGGCTCAGATATCTTTCTTGGGCTCAGATATCTTTCTTGGCTCAGATATCTTTCTTGGGCTCAGGACATCTTTCTTGGCTCAGATATCTTTCTTGGGCTCAGATATCTTTCTTGGGCTCAGATATCTTTCTTGGGCTCAGATATCTTTCTCTGGGCTCGATATCTTTCTTGGGCTCAGATATCTTTCTTGGCGGACTCTTTTGGGCTCAGATATCTTTCTTGGGCTCAGATATCTTTCTTGGGCTCAGATATCTTTCTTGGGCTCAGGATATCTTTCTTGGGCTCAGATATCTTTCTTGGGCTCAGATATCTTTCTTGGGCTCAGATATCTTTCTTGGGCTCAGATATCTTTCTTGGGCTCAGATATCTGGGCTCAGATATCTTCTTGGGCTCAGATCTCTCTCTTGGGCTCAGATATCTTTCTTGGGCTCAGATATCTTTCTTGGGCTCAGATATCTTTCTTGGGCTCAGATATCTTTCTTGGGCTCAGATATCTTTCTTGGGCTCGGATATCTTTCTTGGGCTCAGATATCTTTCTTGGGCTCAGATCTTTCTTGGGCTCAGATATCTTTCTTGGGCTCAGATATCTTTCTTGGGCTCAGATATCTCTTGGGCAGATATCTTTCTTGCTCAGATATCTTTCTTGGGCTCAGATATCTTTCTTGGGCTCAGATATCTTTCTTGGGCTCAGATATCTTTCTTGGGCTCAGATATCTTTCTTGGGCTCAGATATCTTTCTTGGGCTCAGATATCTTTCTTGGGCTCAGATATCTTTCTTGGGCTCAGATATCTTTCTTGGGCTCGGACATCTTTCTTGGGCTCAGATATCTTTCTTGGTCTCAGATATCTTTCTTGGGCTCAGATATCTTTCTTGGGCTCAGATATCTTTCTTGGGCTCAGATATCTTTCTTGGGCTCAGATATCTTTCTTGGGCTCAGATATCTTTCTTGGGCTCAGATATCTTTCTTGGGCTCAGATATCTTTCTTGGGCTCAGATATCTTTCTTGGGCTCGGACATCTTTCTTGGGCTCAGATATCTTTCTTGGCTCAGATATCTTTCTTGGGCTCAGATATCTTTCTTGGTGAAGTGATTCGGGGTCCGAGAAGAGTTTCATCTGTAGGGATCTCCGGGGGCGCCTTCCCTCCCGTTAGCCAGCCTCTGTTTCTGTTCCACGCAGAATTATTACTAAGATCATCATAATCATCCTTTAAACTCGAAAAAGGGGGGTTTTCGACTCATCTCTGCAAAGGCTGTATTTCGCTAGATTTTGCCAGTTTTTCGACTTCTGAGATTTTTCTACTTTTAACCTTTTTCTCATTATAGATGGGCTTTATAATGACAATTATCATAATTATTGTCATTATATACAAGTGCTTATGTAGACCTTGTCTGTAAGAGCTCAGGGACTGACCACGACCCTGAAATATCCCTTACTATATATTGGCTTTATTAGGGGGGGGGCGGGATTTAAAAAAAGATTCAGAGGAATGACATTAATTTTGATAATGGATTAGATGGGGAATTAAATTACATAGACGAACATTGTTGCGTTTAATGCGTTTAACGGTGACATTCTTTTTGTTTCGTTAGTCTTAAAAGGACATGGAAGACTAAGGTATGAATTTCCTTGATAGATGTGCGTGACTTCTGGTTAATGTCTATGATAGATTTAGGTTTGGTTAATTTCCATATTTACTCTGCTTTTGGTTTGTTTCCTTAATATATGTACTTTGATGGATGTACTTAACTTTTGTTAAATTTCCTTGATGTACTTTACTTTTGGTTAATTTCCTTGAGAAATTACTTTACTTTTGGTTAATTTCCTTAATATTACTTGCTTTTGTTTAATTTCTTTCATGTACTTTGCTTTTGGTTAATTTCCTTGACAAGTGTAGTTCACCTTTGGTTAATTACCTTAATGGACAGATCATACGAACCTTTCTCCCCTCCCGACTCAGGTGGCGATCTTGCAGTCGGCCGGAGCAGCTGGTATAGTATTAGCGCAGCTGGGTATAGCTGGACTGGCAGCTGGTGGAGGCGCCGTAGGGGTCGCTGCCGGAGGAGCAACTGCAGCCGGGGTCAATCAACTTGTAGAATTGGGACAAAACCAAGAAAATAAGACTGAGAATGAGACTTTGGAAGATAAAGATGGAGAGAAGAATGATAAGAAGGAAGATGACAAGGAGAATGAGACTTTGGAAGATAAAGATGGAGAGAAGAATTATAAGAAGGAAGATGACAAGGAGAATGAGACTTTGGAAGATAAAGATGGAGAGAAGAATTATAAGAAGGAAGATGACAAGGAGAATGAGACTTTGGAAGATAAAGATGGAGAGAAGAATGATAAGGAAGGAAGATGACAAGGAGAATGAGACTTTAGAATATAAAGATGGAGAGAAGAATGAGAAGAAGGAAGTGACATGAGAATGAGATTGGAGATAAAACGGGGAGAAGATGATAGAAGGAAGAGGGAAGACCAGAAGTGAGGAGACAGAAGGGGAGGAAGAAGGAGAAGTAGGAAATGATGGGGAGGAAAGAAGATCAAGAAATGAGGAAGAAGGAGGAGGAGGAAATGATGGGGAAAAAGAAAGTGGTCTAGGTGATGCTGGAGAAGGAAAATTAGAAATGGACGAGGAGGAAAGAAAACTAGGAAATGGTGATAACCGACAAGGAATGAAATAATGAGGAAGCAAAAAAATAAGAAATGAAGAATTAGATTTTAAAGCAAAATTTGGTGATGTTATCGCACTGTCATCCGCTTGTGAATATATATCTATATCCCCAATTTATCTGTCTGTCTCTTTATCTATTTTTGTCTGTCTGTCTATCTGCCATATCTATCTGTCTACCTACTTATCTATCTGACTACCTATCAATCTGTCTATCTGTGTATCTGTCTTTCCATATAGATTACAATGAAGTGTGTGCCTTAGTGATAAGACATCTTTATTTTTATAATGAATATTATTTCAGATAGTTCATCTTTTCTTTAATAGTATTGTGGTTGCTCTGATTCAGCGATTTATCAGGCTAATATTATTATGAAATTGAAAACCTATAAATATATATATATATATATATATATATATATATATATATATAAATATGTGTGTGTGTGTGTGTGTGTGTGTGTGTGTGTATGTGCGTGTGTGTTGTGTGTGTGTGTGTGTGTGTGTGTTGGTGTGTTGTGTGTGTGTTGCATGCGTGCGTGTTTCATTTTTCATCGTGCAATATTATTACGACAGTTAAAGCATACATATACATGTGTCATGATATTAAATAAAGGCCTTTACGCTGCTTCCTCTATGATCCCCTAAATTCCAAAGGTCGTTTTTTATTCCTCATAGACCAATGGAAGAAGAAAAATGATCATAATTGATAAGTGATATTGCCGAAACCTAAATCAGTGTCACTTTTGAGACACATTAGTACAGTTTTTGGTCTATTGTGAACCTCAGAAAGTCTAATAATGGAAGACAAGCTCCTGCATGATAATAAGAGCTTTACAGGTGATATCAATGCCAAGATTCTTACTACAGTAATCATGTTCAATGCCAGTGGATACTGTATTTTATAAATCTTATTACTGGTGTTAGAGGGAGCGAGACAATGGTGAATACTATGAAGCAAAGATATGTCGTTGATGCTGCATTTGACACACACAGAGAAGTGATGTTATCGGCTAGATGGAATGACTCCAATTATACTATTTTCAACCATTCGGGGATAAAGCGTATCCCGTTTTCACTCATGAGGGCAGAGGACCCAAGAAGTCAAAAGTACGAAACAGACTTCGGTAGCAGGAAGGGCGTGGTCGCAGGAGCTGTGCTTATGTTAGGGTTGAAGAAGCTTTGGGCGATCTTGGTGTTAGTTCAGGAGATGCCTGATGATGCCCTGGGCTAACTCTCTGATTGTATGCCCAGAGACTCAAGTATAAGGCCTGGTTCTGAGAAATATGATGAGAAAGGGAGATATTTTGAATATGTCAACAGAGATGAAACATGAAACAAACAACTTTTTTCGATTTAAGTATAAAGTTCAAAATCAGTAACTTGTTTCCCATCTTTGATTAGACGCCCCCCCCCCCGGCCCCCATATGGATGTTCGGGACCACCGCCCTTCACCCCCCCCCCTCTGCACGACACTGGGTTACTTCAACTCGAGGTCAAGGTCAAAATACCAAGTCGTTTTATGAAATTGTCACCCTAACATCCCAACAAGCGAACAATCAGCCTTTTATCTAGGTGTGTTTACATCCCCAGCTCTACCCAATTTTGGAAGTTCAGCCACGAACACAATTGAGTGAAATTATATCAGTGTTACCCTGCCGATGTCAATAGCGTAATAGCGTATGAACTATAAGAAGAGGTGGAAGATTTATTTGTCTCTTAAAATCTGGGCGATGCTAAATTGTAGACTCCAGTTCGCCGTTTCTCCGAGGAACTACTGTATAGACAATGTGTGAGTATGTTTACTAAGCAAAATTGAAAGTTCTCTTTGCACGCAGTGTTTAACGTAATCTCAGTTTGTCATTCCTACATAAGAGGCCACTGAACAAAGAAGGAAACCACACCACTTCGAGGTGGATAAAAGACTGTGGTAGACAAAAGAAAAGAAAACAAGACAAAACTACACTTAGATCATTGAAATTACTTGAAGCACATTCACACAAGAAATATAGATATCTATTAAAAGAAGAATTTATATTTCTCTTGGATGATAATGAATGGATGCATATATCCACATTGTGGATGTATATAAAGATAATAAAATCTAAGCTATTATAGGGTCTTCTTTTCTTACTCAGAAGGAGTAACCAAAGAAAATATACGACGTCTATAGAGCTAACTATGCTATTCGAAGTAAAAATAACACAAAGCTGTCGATTCGTTTGACTTTCATATGATTCATACTTCTACTGTTACGTAAAGGTCCTTCCCCATTGCCCTTCTCCTAATGTAATCTCGTGTATATATATTTATTCATCATTCTTCTGTTATGGCTCTTTTTCCCTCACCCTTTCTCCTCACGCAAGATAAGGCAACGTCACTAGTACAATTAAAAATAAAAACAAACAAAGAAGCCATTACACATTGATAGGAAAACTTCGAAAAAATAGAGAATACTGAATTTAGGATAAAAGCAAAAATACAAATGGTTTTGAAACCATGCGAGGAAAAAAGATGAAAGCCAAAGGGAATGAAGAATGGAGATGTAAGAGGAAGAAAAAAAATGATAAAGGAGATACCGAAGAAAAAGATAATGCAGTAATAACATTAGAGAAAAAGAGGGAGGATACGAGGAATAAAAGAAAGGGAAGAAATAGTATAAGACAAACGAAGGAAACGAAGGAAAGAAAGAAAAAAATGACAAAGTTACAAGAAAGAACAAAAAGACACGAAGATCGAAGACAAAATTAATGTAAAAGAACAAATTCAAAGAAAAAAAGAGAAGAAGAAAGATAATTGAAGAAAATGATGGAGAAGAAAGGAAAGAAGAAAGAAGAATAGTAAAAAAAATTGAGGAGGGAAACGGAAAGAAAAATTAAAGAGGAAATCAGAAAGAAAAAAAAAAGATGATGAAAACAAAAAGAAAAGTGAAAGAAAGTAACAGAATGACAAAGAGAAAGAAAGCAGGAAACAGAAGGAAAAGAAGTCAAATGGGAAAAAAAGAAGGAAACTACGAAACAAAGAAAGAAAGAAGGGAACTGAAAGAAACATAAAGAAAGAAAGAAGAAAACAGAAAGAAAGAAAGAGGAGAATAAAGAAGCAGAAAGAAGAAAACAAACAAACAAAGAAAAAAAAAGAAAGAAAGAAAACAGAAAGAAAAAAAAGAGGTGAAAAAGACCCCTCCCCCCCCAAAAAAAAAGAGAAAGAAAGAAAAACAAAACAAAACAGAAAATCGAAAAAAGAGGAAGGAAACAAAGAGAAGAAGATAGTAAATAAAAAAAAGAGCGCACAGGACGACGAAAATCCCATGATCTCTTTCTCTCGCGGCGCCAATCAGCTGTTTCAGGTTGAGGATCGTAATTGCATCGATTGAAGATGGATTTCAGTGATTGACTCTCTCGTTGCAGGGAAATCGAACAGCGGATTTCCCCCAGGATTTATATGTAGGGATTTATGTTGTGTTGTGTTGTGTTTCGTGTTGTGTTGTTGTTTGTTGTGTTGTGTTTTGTTGTGTTGTGTTGTGTTGTGTTGTGTTGTTTTGTGTTGTGTTTTGTTGTGTTGTGTTGTGTTTTGTTTTGTTGTGTTGTTTTGTGTTGTGTTATGTTGTGCTTGTGTGTGTTGTGTTTGTGTTGTTTTGTGTTGTGTTTTGTTGGTTGTTTGTGTTTATGTTGTGCTGTGTTGGTTGTGTTGTGTTGTTTTGTGTTTTGTTGGTTGTGTTGTGGTGTTGTTTGTGTGTGTGTGTTGTGTGTGTTGTGTTGTGTTTGTGTGTTTTGTGTTGTGTTGTTTTGTTTTGTGTTGGGTTGTGTTGTGTTGTTTTGTGTTTTGTTGGGTTGTGTTGTGCTGTGTTGTGTGTGTGTGTTGTGCTGTGTTGTTGTTGTTTTCGTGTTGTTTTGTTGTGTTGTTTTGTTTTTGTTTGTGTTGTGTTGTGTTGTGGTTTGTTGTGTTGTGTGTGCTGTGCTGTGTTTTGTGTTGTGTTTCGTGTTGTGTTGTGTTTTGTTGTTTTGTGTTGTGTTATGTTATGTTGTGCTGTGTTGTGTTTTGTTGTGTTGTGTTGTGTTGTGTTGTGTGTTTGTTGTGTTGTCTTGTGTTATGTTGTGTTATGTTATTTTGTTATGTTGTTATATTCTGTTAGGCTTATGTTATGTTATTTTATGTTGTGTTATCTTATGTCATGTTTATGTTATGTTATTTTATGTCATCTTATTTTATTTATTTATTTGTTTATTTATTTTCATTTATTTTTATTGGTTCATTTACTTTTTTTTTTTTTTTTTTTTTTTTTTATCAGAGACGAAATCCGCGAGTTCTCAAGCCATAGTTTTTTAAGGGAAGATTATTGTTAGTTATATCTTCGAGGTTATTGTTGTTTGTATTTTTCCTTTTCTCTCTTTGTCCTTTTCGCTTGCTTAATTAATGTAGGCGTTTTGTTATTCATATTAGTTGCACATTCAGAACCACACACGCACGATGCACACACACACACACCTAGGTACACACGCACAGACGCACACACACGCACGCGCACACTCATACGCACACGCACACACACACACCTAGGTACACACGCACAGAGGCACACACACGCACGTGCACACTCATACGCACACACACACACACCTAGGTAACCACCGCCAGGCGCACAGACCCACTCACACACACACACGCGTTAACATATATATATATATATATAT